CACAGCCTTCTATTGCTCATTGACCACACCTATCCCATGCATCCAGGTAAAATAAGCAGTGTGAGGGGTTTCCTTCCTTGGTTCTGACCGACACACCTAATGTGCTTGGCTCTAGAGATGACTGTACTTTCAAGTTTGTGAATGTTAAACAATCTTTTCTCCGTGCCTCCCTGCTCGAGGTTTGCAGTCCTCACTCCCATTGTTGCATGACCTGTAGATGATTGATTCCATGTCTATCCGTGAATGGATGTGTCACAACAATTCATCCACTTTCTGGTGTTCTTATTCTCTTGTAAGTAACACTACTATGAATATTTCTGTGGGCCTCCCAGGTCAAATGTGATCCTCAGCACCACATAAAAATAAAATAAAGACATTATACCCACCTAAAACTAAAACATAAATATTAAAAAAAATTTAGTATTTAAAAATAAATAAAGGTATTGTGTCCAACTACAACTAAAAATAAATATTAAAAAATATTGAGGATTGGAAAGAATTATTGAGGATTTATGTGGGCCATATCTATCACTGTCTACTGTATTAAAATTTTAAATTTAGGGGTTGGGGTTGTGGCTCAGTGGTACAGTGCTTGCCTAGCATGCATGAGGGATTGGGTTCGATCATCAGCACCAAAATAAATAAATAAATAAAGATATTGTGTCCCCCTAAAACTAAAAAATAAACACTAAAAAATTTAAATTTAGAAGTGAAAACAATATTCATTTGGATAAAAAAAAACCCTATCATGTTAATATAAATAGCATGTTGCATTAAAAAAACCCTATTGTTAACATAAAATACATTCAAGGGAAAAGTGGCATTGATTTCTGAGTTTACAGGTCTCTTTAATAACCGACTGCACAAAGCAAGGTGGACTCGCGTTATTGGAAGTAGAGTGCTGAGACCTGGGTCCATTTTGAGTTGCCAGGGCTCTCTCCATTTCTGGAAGTTTTTTCTTCCTCCTGTTGTCACGCTCCTAGATGAGATGCCAGTGACCCCCCGTTGCTTGATCTTGATGGACAGACCTTTCCAACCCTATTTTTTACAGTAACATTACTTGCTTCCAAGTCCACTTTTTCTATTAGGACAGCCATTACTGCTCTTCTGGAGGGAATTTGCATGACCTATCTTTCAGTTGTCTTGTATCTTGATATCGGAAGCATCTTCTTTTGGTAGCATCCAGTTGAATATTGACTTCATCCCCTCCCCTGACAACCTCTGCCTTTTGACTGGATTCTTCATGGCTTCACATTTGACAGTATTGTTGATGTATTTGGATGTACGCATTTTAGCTTCTGTTGTCTCATGTCTTCTTGGTTCTTCCATTCATGATGTATTCCTTTTTTGAAGTAAGCAAACACTTTACAATGCAGCATTTGATTTCTGTAATCATTCTCCCACCATTTATTTTGAGTTTTCTTTAGAAGTTGCTCTGGGATTTGTCATATATTTATGAGAACAGTCAGAAATTTGTACTACCTTAATTCCAATGAGAGATAAAAATCTCACTCCTACATAGCTCCATTCCTCCCCCTCTGTCATATCATTGTTAGATGATGTTACATTTATAAATATTTAAAAACCTGACAAACATTGTTTTAATTAATACTTCATAGAGCTTAATGCATTTTATATATTTTATCTTTCTTTTTTTGGTGCCAGGGATCCTTAAACTACCGAGCCACATCCCTCACCCTTTTTATTCTTTTATTTTGAGACAGGGTTATTAGAGTCTGTAAACAAGTCAAAATAACACCTGGCATTTTGCCAGGGGAATGTTAGAGTTCATAAACAAGTCTGGATGGTGCCTGGCAAAATGCCAGAGGGAGTGATTTGAGAAGTAACAAAAGCGAGCCATTAAGTGTGGAGATTCCTTATTGGTTGACTGCTGTATCTAGTTTATGCTAATTAGATAAGCTGTGTGGAATGTATAAATACTGCTCCTGTCCTGCAATAAACGGCTCCCACTCCTGCTGTATCAATCTACGCAAGTTGTTCGTCACCCCCCGGTTATTTTGCTGCAGCAGGACTTCGGCACAGGGTCTCTCTGAAATTATGTAGGGCCTTGTTAACTTGCAATCCTCCTGCCTCAGCCTCCTGAGCCACTGGGATTACAGACATGGGCTACTGCCCCTAGCAGCTTAATGTATTTTAAAAAAGCTTAGAGAAGAAAGGGAAGAGGTGTGTATTAACTCATTTGTATTAACCTTCTTGCTTATCCATCCTAGTGTTTGTGATTTGTTCCTGTGGGTTTCAGTTACCACCAGGAGTCCTTTCTTTTGCCCACGATAGCTTTCTTCTTGCCTACTCCTTTGTGCCACTATTAGCACATATATTACGTTTATGTATGCTGTAGGTCCACATATAAAAATACACATTGTTTTGATGATCGATTTCTAAATCAGCTAAAAGAAGACATGTGTGTTTATGCTGTGTTTATCCTAATTACACAATTACTTCACAGGTGCTCTTTTGTTTTTTAAACATATGTGCAACTGAGACACCATACAGTGTCACCTCCAGTGTGGAGAACTCCTGCAGCCACTCTTGTTTGGCACATCTCTTGTGCAAGTGGCAAGTTCTTTCAGCTTGTGTTTGTGTCATACTCTCTTGTTATCACTTTCATTTTTGAAGGATAGCTTTGCTAAATAGAGAATTCCTAGCTGAGGACATCTTTCTCCAAGCACTTCCAGATCTTCTCCCATTGCCTGATGGTCTCTGTTACTTCCAATGAGAAATTGGCTGCTACTCGTCTTGGGGTTCCCCCGTAATTGAGAAGCTATCCTTCCTGCTGCCCTCAAGATGGTCTCTTTCTCTTAATTTTTTTTTTTTTATTTGGCATACTTACTATGCCACATCCATTTGTGGAACTCAGTATATTTCTACCAAACATCCATGGGGCCTTCTGCATGGCACATGAATGCTGTTCCTTAGAATGGAAATCTTCCACTACTGTCTCTGAAGATTTTAACTCCTTCTCTCTCTTCTCCTGGTGCTTCCATTTTATGTATGCCGTCCATGCTTAGTGGTCTCCTACACCTCTCCACTCACCCTCTGTAACCTCTTTTTACTGTCTCCATTGTGTTGCCTTTTCCAGATTGCATATATTTGTTTGTGTGTGTGTGTGTGTGTATGTTTCTCAGACTGGTTCTGTTCACTTAGTAATATGGATTTAAGTTTCCCTCTGTGCCTTTTTATGGTTTGATAGCACATTTTTTTAGTGATGAATAATATTCTATTGCCACAGTCCGGCTGCAGCAAAATAACGGGCGGGGGCGGGGGACACAAGCAACTTGTGTAGATTGATACAGCAGGAGTGGGAGCCGTTTATTATAGGACAGGAGCAGTATTTATACATTCCACACAGCTTATCTAATTAGCATAAACTAGATACATCAGTCAACCAATAAGGAATCTCCACACTTAATGGCTGGCTTTTGTTACTTCACAAACCACTCCCTCTGGCAAAATGCCAGGCGCCATCCTGACTTGTTTACAGACTCTAACATTCTATCATGGGTAGAGAACATACTTCATGTTATTTCTATCTTTTTGAATTTACTTGGGTTTATTTGATGGCCTAGCACAAAGTCTCTCCTAGGGAATGTTTCATATGCTCTTGAGAAGAATCTATATTCTGCTGCTGTTTAGCAAAGTGTCCTATAAATTGTTGGACTTAGTTGGTTTGCAGTGTTGCTTTTCTGTTTCCGTGAAGTTTATCCATTCATCTGTGGAAGGTGCTTTGTTATCTGATGTTTGACAATTGTGACCAAGAGTTCTGCAAATATTCCTGTACTGGGGTCTTAAGCGATGTCAGTGTTCAGCTCATTGGGGTAAAACCTGGGATTGTGATTATTGGATTGTTTGGAAGAATTATGTTTAGTTCTGCAAGAATCTGCCAAACTGTCCCCAGAGTGGCTGCACCGTGGCACTGCACGGCAATAAACGAGAGGGAGCCTCTGGTGCCCCACAGGCTCCTTGGCGTTTAACAGTATCAGTGGTTTAAATTCTAGCGGTGGCACTATGTGTGTGGCTGTAACTCTCGGGTGTTTTAGTTTGTATTTCTCTAATGACATACGTTGAGCATCTTTTCATACCCTACTTTCCATCTATGTCTTTGTTGGTAGGTTGTTCAGATCTTTTGCTTATTTTTAAACTTCTTGTAGGCTTTAACAGTCATCTATATTTTTAAACCAGTCCTTTATCAGGTATGTTTCTTGCAATCATTTCCCTGGTCTGTGGCTATTCCTTTCATTCTTTCGCAGAACAGACACGATCTCGACGTGGCCTATTTCGGTAGGGCCAAGGCAGGAGGCTTGCGCTGGGGCCGGCGGAGGGCGTTGGGTCTGCAGACGGGCCGCTTGCCTGGCGCACCTCGCGAGCCTGGCGGCCTCACTCAGGGCAGCCGCTACCCGGAAGGCCACCCAGATTCCGCCACCAGGAGGCGCTGACGGAGCCCCGAGGCGGCTGCGACTGGGCGAGTTCTTTCCGCCAGTGACTGGCACCTGCTGGCGACCGCTAAAGGAGGGGCGCGCGGACGCTGATGTGCAAATTCGACTGCTCGGGTGCCACCCGTGCCGGTCTGCAGTCGTGTTCCCGCGTTAATTGCGGGACTCGGAGAGCGCTCCCAGCTGGGACCCCGGGAACTGCAGGCGACAGACCCGCGCCGACCCGGAGTCGACCCTCCAGGCGCCGCAGTCAGATCCCAGAGGCCCGGCGCAGCTCCAGATCCGCCTGCTCGGTGGGCCGGCCCCGCGGTCCCCGGCCCGCGCCAGGGTAGGTGCGGACACCCACGCAGCTTCCCGGGCCGCGGGACAGCGCGTCCCTCGTTCCCGCCACGCGCCCCGCGGAGCTCCGAGCCGCTCGCGCTTCCCTCGTGCCCAGGTCCCAACCGTCACCCGGACCTTGGACGCTCGGACTCGGGCCGATTCCGCGGCCGTCGCGAACATGGCCGGCTGAAGCTGTCCTCCAGGCCGTCGACCGCGCCCACCGCTCCCATGGGCAGCTTCCTGGGCAGGCCGGGTCCCTCGGCGTCCCCGGCCCGGGCGCGCGCGGGTTCGCCAGCGAGGCCTCGGATCCGCGGGCCGGCTCCGCCGCTCTGCCACGTCCAGCGGGTCCAGTACATCCATCGCGCCCATCCCGCCCCACGGCGCAGGCCCCCTAAGAGGCCGCCGAGCCGGGACCCTGCCCATCCTGCGAGGGTGGCCAACGAGGCGTGGAGGCGCTTTCCCATGCACAGGTTCCAGAATTCCGTCGTGGGGCCGCTCCCCGCAGATTGGTGGGAAAGCTACCTCAAGCGGACCATTTGGTCGCTGCGGCACCCGCGGGCGGTGTGGAGCCCCGTGACGGTCACGATCTCTTCTCCCGAGCAGAGGGCGCCCCCCTCCGTGGCCTCGGCCAGCGTGATTGCCTCCGCGGGACCCTCGGAGGAGCCGCCAGACCCGTGCGCCCAGGAGACGGTGCTGAGGGCGCTCCGGGAGTGCAGGAGAGGGAGCGCCAGGGGGCGAGAGCCGCCGCTCCCCGAGAGCCCCGAGCCGGAGCCGACTCGCGAGAGCCGGCCCTCCGCCTTTAGGCCGCTGGCGAAACACCAGGCCGGCGCCGGTTTCGTGCCCAGGCCTGGGCCTCTGAAAAGGAGCTGCCACTCCTGGAGCTCCGGCCACAGCCTGAAGAGGTTCGGTTGCTCCTCCGAGAGCTCCTCTGCCGGCAAACGCACAGCAGGCCCCCTCTGCTCCAAAAGAAACGCCATAAGCAGTTCTTACAGTTCTTCCAGAGATTTCGTCGAGCCACGGAAGAGCAGTTTTTCCTGTACCTCAATCCAGACACCAGAGTGGCCAGTGAAAAGGAAAGAGAAAGGTCCCCAGTCTCGGTCTCCAGTCCCAGCGGCGTCGGACCCTGGATGGCCTCGAGCACCTGACAGTTGTGGGCAGCACACTCTGAAGGTGCCGATGCTGCCATCTCCCCCCGGGAACCTGCTGTCTACCAGCCCAGCTCCCCAGGTCCTCATCACTGTCCCAAGTGTGAGCTCTGCCTCTGGGGAGGCCCTGACCTCGGGGAAGAAAACTGAGCGGCAATGGAGTGACAAAACCAGAGAGAACACAGGCAAGGCCTGGCCTGGCATTCAGCCTTCCCTGTCTTTCACTGGGCCTCCTTCAGGTACAGCGGCTGCCACCGGCACAGGTCCTCAGCTGGAAATCTTGAAGATGCAGAAGTCTCCAGGTCCACTGGCCTCCCCAGGGTCTACTGGAGAGGCAACCAGTGTGGTGCAGTGCTCTCAGAAGACACCTAACCTGCCGACCCCAGCTGAATACTCACACTCAGAGCCCCCTGCAGAGAACTCTTCAGAGGCAAAGCCCACAGCTACTCTCATCCAGCTGACCCCAGCCTCTCCCACATCACCAGCCACTGACACCACTGGGCTTCCTTCAACCCCTCAGGCTGACAAGTCTGCCATGCCCCCAGGTCCTCCTGTGGTTACCCTCGCAGCACCCACCATGCAAAGCTCAAGATTTGGGGTGATGAGCACCTCAACTCCCCACCCTTCCCCCACCCCTCCTGCTGTAGCTTCGGTTTGCCCCATATTAAGACCTACTCTGGGGCCCCTGCACAGCACTGAGATAGCAGGCTCCTTAAATCCCAGAATCCCAGTCACACCTGTAGCATCTGCAAGCTCTTCATTCCCCACCACTCCAGGTGTCTTCCCACCCACCTTCAAGCCTGTCTTTGGTAGCACAGGACCACTTAAAACTATGCCAGTGCAGGCTCCTTCCCCCTGCAAGCAGCCCTCTCCTCCATGTGCTCCTGCTTCCTCTCCTCTGCCCCAGGGCCTGGCCAGGGCCACCCCTGTGGTCAGGTCCACGCTAACCAGCACATCTAGAGACCCAGCCTTCAAGCCACCTTTGGATCTTGGCATCACAGGTGACACTTCCTCTGTCCTCACCTCCTGTAGCACTTTCATGCTCGGGGCAGCCCAGACCTTCGGGGCGAGTTTCTCCCCAGCCCCGGGCTGCGTTTCTTCACCACACCAGCACCCTGTCATCCCCACTGTACACACAGTCACTGTCTTTAGCCACGTTTTCCCTAGTGTTATCCAGATATTCCCCTGCAGGGGCACTGATGGTCTTCGGGATGTGTCAGCCCCAGCCCTATTACCTGCAAACCAGGCTGCGTTGTCACCCCGCATCTCCAATCTGACCCCAGCATTCACAATTCCCATGGGGTCAAGCTCGAGGCCACCTATCCCATTATTCCCAGGAGTCACTCCCCAGCCTGCATCTGGGGCCATTGGTGAGCAGAAGCAAGGCCTCCCCCAGCCAGTGCTTGCCCCACTCTTGGGTAACTCATTACTTTTTGGGAACTCAGCAGTGGCATCCCCAACTCCAGTGCCAACTTCAGCTCAGACAGCCTTTGGGGGTGTGATACCTGCAGCCCCCACCCTCCACACGCCTGCCAGCATGCAGCCAGGCCTGGGCAGCACCTGTGATGGCCTCCCCTCGGGTCCAGGCAATCCAGTTGGCTCTGGAGTTGCCACCCACAGCCATGTGAGTGGGGCTCGAGGCTCAGTGTTTGGCAGCACAGCACCTCGGCCTTTTGCCTTTGGGGGACTGGTGACCCCTATGGACTGTGGGGAGCCTGGGGTCCTCATCACTGTCCCAAGTGTGAGCTCTGCCTCTGGGACTTCCAATGCTGATGCAGGGCTTAGTGGGACCACTAGCCCTGTGACACCCTTTGGAGAAGGCTGGAGCCTTCCCCGCCAAAACACACCTTTGTTCTTGGGAAAGGCCAGCTTCTCTGCCAAAAAGATTATGTCTTTTGCTCACAGCACCCCTATTCCTGGGCCAGTTAAGGTAGGCAGCCGTCTTGGCCTTGGGCTGTCCCCTCCACATTTTCAGGACTCTGTAGGGAGAGATGCTTTTAAATCATCAGCTCCTACCTTTTCCATTGGTACAAAATCAAAAACTCCAAGGAATCGGGAGCAAGGGCATTCCCGAAGGCATCATGCCCACAAGAAATAGCTCACTTTCCTCTTACCTGTACCCTGGTTTGGACCTCAATGTTTCCATGAAGAGCTTTGGTGTCTGCAAATTCACTAAGTCAGACATACCCCAGATCTAGAGTAAGCCTTGTATGCTCACCCTGGGGTCCTAAATATACATCTACCTGGAAGAAGGTAGAGGACCAGGCACCATCCAGTGGTGACAGCAGATGACAGAACTAGACCCCCTGGGCTTAGACAGAGCTTAACCCCTTTGCCCCCAACACTCCCTGCCCTGCTCCTCTGTGTCAGGTGTGAGTTCCCTCAGAGCTGCCTCGTGCTGCGTCCCAGGAACAGCCAAGGCAGTAAGGCCGCAGCTGCAGACTAGGTGCTCCTGCTTTTGGGGAGGAGGAATAGACTCTCCCTCGATCTGAGCCTTTTATCTGGCTCTGATACATGGTTCCCCTCCTTGGCCCCTTAGGGATACAGATTTCTCATTTCTTGCTGTTCTGTTCCTCAGTGGGTTCTTGGAGAAGCTGTCGATGTCATTTGACCTTGAATCCAGCTTCTCCGTGAGGATCAGTGGTTGACCCTCAGGGAACTCTGTGTGCTGCTCCTGTTGTGCTACTTCCCCAACAAGCTGCCAGTCTTTTCCTGAGAGAGGCGATAGTCCAGCCCCATCCTCCTCCTGCCAATTGAATCTACAAAGTGAAGACTGTTGTGTGAGACCCCAGAGGTTACTCCTCACTCCAAGAAAAGGAGGCCTTTGGCCAGTGTCCTTCAAGGTTTGGACCCCGCAGGAGCGCCTTCCTGGATGCAGGTCTCCACTGGCCACCTTCTCCCCTGGCACCCTCCCGTGCATACACATGAGACCTGTTCTCTTGTCCAATGCTGGTGTCTGCTGTGTGCTTCCGATTGCGTGTGGGGGACGGGCGGCTCCTAGGAGTGGTGCCACTGGTGGGGTTTGGCCCAGGGATGGGCAGGCACACTTCTTCATGCTACAAGTGCTGGTTCCTGAACGTACAACAGCACGTGACTCTAAGGGACAGCCTCTCGGGAAATCAGAGGGCCAGAAAGGAGGAACACTGGCCATTCCTCCGGTACCAGCCAGAAATGCACAACCAGGGATCAGAGCTTTTTTCTTTGTATTGGTACCTCCTCACCTCCCTGTTCAGGGCCTGTGCGGGGAGGGCAGGTGGAGCAGAAAGCCCTGGGGCCTGACGACCGAGTGAGAAGGGGGAAGGGCAGGTGCCTGAGGCCACCGCAGGGCAGCACCTGTGGGAGGGGGCGGGTGAGCACTTACCATCCTGAGAAGAGGCTAAATGGCTTCCTGAGTACATGGGCCACCCATCTCCTGCTTATGGAGACCGCGAAGGAGGTCTAATTGGAAAAACCATATTAAGTTAGATGACAAAATAAATTGTTGAAATAAGTCTGTGATATAGGAATTTCTGTCCAACCGATTTGGATGTGGTGGCTATGGAGGCAGAGTGCTGTCAGGAAACCTACCTGACTCCGCCCAGTGAAGGCCAGTCTGGGGATTTAAACGCTGATGACAGGAGTGTGCTCATTCCTCCCTCCCCAGAGCAGATTACCGGAGTTAGAATTCTAAGCCAGGCCTGTCTGCTACGAACACCCACTTCCGCAGTCATTGCCCACCCAAACTTGCAACCTTACAGAGGGCCAGGGAGAACACATGGACACTGCCTATGCTGTGTGCTGAGAGCCACGGCCGAGTCTGTATGGCCCCTGGCATTCTGTGGCTCTCAGCAGCTGTGTACTTGGGATTCCACGTGTCCTCTGCCCCATTTGCACTGACCTTTGGGAGCAACAGACAGCTCCTATGTGGGAGGGTTACACCTTAGTGTGGCATCCTGGTGTAAGCCATAAGCCTGTGATCCTGAAAAAAACAAGGAGTGCCCAGGGCAAGGGGAAGGACCCTCTCAGCTAAGACTTGAAGCTTGAGTTGTGTCTCACCAAGGGGACAAGGTGAGGAAGGCAGGACAAATTGGGGCAACTTCTGGAAGTTGGCTGTAGTGGGGATGAGCAGGAGCAGGTCACAGCGAGCTTATGAAGAGTGTGTGGAATGGATGTGTCCTGAGTCAGCAGCATGGAAAGCCTGCAGGCCTGGAGTCGGTGGGAGACTCTGAGGACACAGCATTAACAGTGTGAGTTCCACCGGCGACCGGCAGGGCAGTGAGCCCGGTAGTCAGCGCTGGCACGTGGAGGAGCAGGAAGAGAACAGACTAAGGAGCAGGACTTGGGGAGTCCTTGAGGATCTGACCTGGTTTCTCCCGGGGCTTAGAACACGGCTGTTTCTGTCCCAGTTCCTGCTGTTCTGTGCCTTGCAGCCAGCACTGTGGGCAGTGCAGAGGACACTTTTAGCTCTGTGTTTTTCCAGCTGCTTACTTGCCCTTCTCTCTTCCCACCACTGGGCTGTTCCGGGTGCCTTTGCTTATCACAGGGACATAACAAGTTAAAAGCAGCATGTCTTTTCCTGGGTGTGCCTTCCAAGACCTGAAGACCCAGGGGTGGCAGGAAAGGATGGAGACAGAACTTTTAGGAACGTGTGAGTTTGGGGGCAAGGGACTTTTGGAAAGTCAGAGTCACCTGCAGTGCATGGAGGAGAGATGGAGTCCAGTCGTGAGGAGGTGCAGACCCCAGGAGTGTGGAAATCGGGGCTGAAGGGGCCCAAGGCAGTCTGGGAATCCTGGCAGTCAGTGCAGTAGGAAACAGGCGGATCCAGGTCTCTTCAGGGAGCTGGAAGGTTCGTCACGCAGCATGGAACCCTGAAGGGACAAGTTTGGTTTCATGCAGATCATAGACCCAACCCCTGATTTCTAAAAGTAGAAATCGAATTGAAATCTTGAAAATGAAGTATTTCTTGTTAAATGAGGTGTCAGGCTATTTGACATTCAGGGAAAGGTGTCTGTTTGGAGGGTGCATCTGGATGTCAGAGGCATGAGAGCCCTCCCGAGTGGGGGCGAGTCCCTTCTGCAGCTGACCCTGAAGCCCTGTGCCCACCTGTTCTCTTCCCACTGTGCCTCAGTCTGGCTGGGCACACAATCACGAGCCACCACACAGCTTGTAGATTCAAACAGCAACTCTTTATTCCCGAACTCACACCAGCTGTCTACAATCACGTTCTGGGGAAATCCACGTTCTCTGCCCAAATCCACCTCCACTGGGCTTCTATCTCCCAAAAAATACTGTCTGAATCCGGTGAGAACTCAAGGGGAACTCAGGCAGCAGGATACGCCCTATTCCCAGCAGGAATAATCTTAAACCTTAAACCTGGAACCTAAACCGGGAACGCCCTAATCTGCCTTGATCCTTGAACAAGGTCACCTACATTCAATGTCACTGCAACATGGGGTACGCTGGCAAGGAAATTGTCATACCTACTTGGCTAATGGCTCCCAGCATCTCCCCCCTTCTGATTAATTAAACAATAAGCAATGTGGCTTAAGGACCGTGCCTGGTAGGTTGTCCAATTCAACATATGGTTCTTACCCGTCATCGGAAAACTGACCTTTAGGCGTCAGCCTCCTGTCTTAGGTTGATACCACTGCAATTGAATCATACCCGTCACTGACTACCAGTCCAGCATACAGCCATACTTGTGGATAGGTCTATGCACCAGTGGGGGGGTGAGGTTCTTTGCCTCACCTCTGTTGGCCCCCAAATTTGGCCTTGGTGCCAGTGGGAGAGTGAGGTTAATGTGGCTTAAGGACCGTGCCTGGTAGGTTGGCCAATTCAACATATGGTCCTTACCCGTCATCGGAAAACTGACCTTTAGGCGTCAGCCTCCTGTCTTAGGTTGATACCACTGCAATTGAATCATACCCGTCACTGACTACCGGTCCAGCATAAGCCATTGGCCCCCAAATTTTAGATCATCACTAGCAGAAGGGAGGAGGATACAGAAATGCCACGACACCAAGCCAATTGACAGCTTCTTGGGAAAAAATTGCATCACTGGTGACACCATCAGCAAAGATATGCCAGCACTACCACAATTAACATGGGGTGCGCTGGCAAGGAAATAAAAATTGCATCACTGGTGACACCATCAGAAAAGATATGCCAGCATTACCACAATTCGCTGCACCAAACGATAGTTACATAGTCCAGGCAAGTTCTGCAAGCAGTTCAAAGCGGAGGAATCTATCAATATGTCCATTTCCTCCCAAAATCCGTTTCCTCCCAAAGTAAGTTAACTCCTTGATTGAGCATTACTTGTTGAGTTAAATTCATTGATGCATCAGTTTATACAGTTTACTGTGATAGCTATCATAGAAGCTGTAGTCTGGTTTTATCTTTGTCTTCACCGGCACTGGGATGAAGATAGGAATTCTGGCAATGATGCTAAAGAGACATTATCCTGAAAAGAATTATTAAATATAATGAAAAAGAAAGGTGAAAGTAAACAAACAGATCTGTTAACCTACTTTAAAAACAATCCTTAACAGCTGTTTACCTAATTTAAATTAAACCATTTAAATCACGTGAATAAAAAAAAATAATAATAATTCGGATCCATTTTTTCATGAGCGCTCCTCATATAAGAAATATGGACATACGCACATACAGACATACAACACAAAACACAAGAGTGTACACAAACGTACAACACATAAGAAAATAGTAAAGGCCTTGTAGCTTTACCTAGGTGAAATCTCCATTGCAATGTTTAAAAACTCCATAGTCAAAAAATAAAACTGATCAGAAAAACATTAACCTAGGTTTGTATGAGCTCAAAAAATAAAAATAGAACCTTATGATGTGGAAAAATGCAATAATAAAATAGCTATTGAAAAAAGCATCCTGGTTAATCACTGTCGCAGATGTAAGAATGGCCAAGCTGGAGTTCTGGATATCAGCTGTTATGGATTTGAGTCAAATCATCTTCTTTTCGATCTGTAGAAACTGTTTTAGTTAATCTCTCTGGAATCCAAATCGGCTGCTGTTCTCCCTGTGGAAAAACACAAACAGACCCCCGACTCCAGACAATCACTGGGTCAGGACCTTTCCATTGTCCTGTTAGAATATCTTTCCAAAGTACTTTAGGCTTATGTACATTTTTTGGATACATATGCCTTTCCGCAGCACTAAGTCCTGATGAATCCAAATTTAAAAAGTTTAGAGTAAAAAGCGTTATTTTAAGTTTATCTTTGGGGGATATATACCCCCTTCCAATTCCCTCTTTTTGCTTTAATAAGTATGTTTTAATAGTTTGATGAGCTCTTTCAACTATGCCTTGTCCCTGTGGATTGTATGGGATTCCTGTTATATGAGTAATATCAAATGATGAGCAAAATTGTTTAAAAGAGGTAGAGGTATAGCTAGGACCATTATCGGTTTTTAACTGTTTAGGAACGCCCACAGTGGCAAAATTTTGTAAGCAATGAGCTATAACATCTTTAGTTTTTTCTCCGGCATGAAGGGAGCCCATCAAAAATCCAGAAGAAGTATCAACTGTAACATGCAAATATTTTAATTTTCCAAATTCTGGCAAGTGTGTGACGTCCATCTGCCAAATATGGTTAGGTA